TGAAGGAACCATTTGATGAATTTATTTTATTTATATTTAAATTTTCATTCAAACATTGTAAACTAATGAAAGTGCGTGCACTGCCAGTGTCAATCATTCCAAGTAGTTTGTGGTTCTCTACAATAATAGGAGTGGTTAGATTAAATGCATCATTGGCTTTAACCCTTCTCTCAATTTTGTCAAGTAGGTACTTACAGTCGAAAGACATGTCTTCGAGTTCCAAGTCGACACTGTCTTGGATCGCCTTGAGCACTTGCTCAGACTTCTCCTTGGCAGGGACCTGCGAGACCATCAGGACTGGCTCACTGTCCTTACAGACGTGGCCACGGAAGTAGTTTTCTCCACACCGCCTGCAGGGGTTGCGCTTGGTGGGGGCAGCTACTTTGGCCTTGTTGTTGGCCAGGGTGAAGCATTTGCTCGACTCATGTGTAGTATTCTTACCATGGTGCGAGCAGAAGAAGGAACGCTCCGGCTTACTGATTCGGTGCTGCTGGTTGTTGCTGGAGTGCACCTTCTTGCGAGGGTACGCCTCCATTCTCTTCTTCTCCATTCTCTTCTCAGTGTGCATGTTGGCACCAGGAATGAGCTGAGTAGCTTCGGCATACATGCGATTGTCGTCGCCAAGGATGTCTCTGCCAATCTGCGTCAACTGCTCCACAGTCCAATCTCTTTTGGTCTCGCCATTGAAGTCCAATCTGGTCATGGTGAGCCGCAAGAGTGTCTGTACTTGCCTAGTCAAGGAAGCGAGGAAGCGGTCGGCAACACGAGCATCGTTTTTGGGGAGGCCGGCATCATACACAGCCTGAAGGAACTTCTTGGAGTAATCTCCAATCGACTCAGAAGGAAGCATTACCATGGTAAATACCTCTTTTACCGAACGGGATGTCACCAAGCGCGATCCATGTCTTGCTGTAAAGCAGATCTTGGCCGCGTTCCAATCTACACACTTCTTCAAATCCATCTCTACCCATCCATCGTCACTATGAGGCAAGCAGAGCGGCAAAAATCTCTTCCAAACTAGTTCAATGTCCTGAAGGGACGACTCAATAACCTTTTGGAAGGTGCGAAGGAAGTGGTCTACTGAGTGAAAGACCTCTTCATTCGGGAAGGATCTAATCACATCGTCTGCCAACTGGAACTTAGGAAGATCTCTTCTATTAAGAGTCAACCCTCCAGTGCGACTGCTCTTCTCTACAACTTTCACAGAAGGCGAAAGGTACTGACTGCATGCTATTTCTATATCTATCATTTCTTTGACGCGTCTGACCTTATTAAGGGCTAATTCAGCTGCTTGCTCATCGTTCATAGCGTGAGCAGCGCTGACAGCCTCCACATGCTGTTGAAGTTCTAGTCTAAGTTTCTCTGACAAAGACAAGACTGTTGTAGCAGCATTCGCTACCAAGGGACGAAGGGGAGAGGGAGCAACAAATTGTCCAGGGGTGGAGCTGGCAAAGGAGATGTTGTCACTCAGACTGGCGATGAGGTCCTCCTCAGTCATGACGGACATGGCATCCTCATCATGAGCAGGGATGATGGCGGCGGGATAGTTCTCAGCAGAGGGGTTCATGGTAGTTCACGAAAAAAAATGTTGTGGTGGTTGAAGTTGAAGAAGTTTTTAAGAGGAAGAATTCAAGATTTGAAATTAGGAACGAAGATTCGTGAGAACTTGTGTAGGTTTTGTTTATTGAGAAAGATTTTGTATCAAAGTTTGACCAGGTTCCTACACTGAACTACTACTGCTATTTATATTGTTTTGGAT